GGGGAGGAACAACGGATGAAGCGGGCGAAAAGGGATAGCAAGGACACTGCCACAAAAAATTAGGGAAAATAGCGACGCTGGCGCTGCGCCTCCACAAGAGGGGTGTTGAGTTAATTAGAATAAATTGCTTTAATCACCTCACATGCCCAAAACTTTAGCTTAAACACAAATGGCTGCATTTTAAAACGGAATAAAAGGCTGAGGAAAAAGAGCATGTCTTAGCGATAGGAGATGCGCGCATTCGGTCTAAAAACCGAGCAGAAATTTGAACCAACAAGTTTGTTCATAGGCCTTTTCTTACCGAAGAGTGACGAGTTAGACATTTCCCACGAAAGCTAAATTTAACATTATGGGTTATCTATTCTACCATTCAGTTTTAAAAAAACAGAAAGCCTTCAAAGCAGGGCAAATAGAAGACCGTCTGTAAAAAAGCCATCGATCGAAAATGCGAATAAAAGAAATCTTAAACACATAGAAATATGGACTTTATTGTTTGACATAGCCTAAATTTAGTAAACTTGCAAAAATGTACTTATTTGGTTAAATAAAGTTAATTGAAATGCTAGGCTAAAGAATGGAATTTGGACGGTTATACAGATAAACTTAAGGGGTCAATTTTGGCGTCATTTAAGACGTATATAAACCTAGCTAATCAGGAGTTATGGTAAAAAAAATAAGAAATCAATCAGTAGATAACCTGATAATATCCGATTAGAACCTCTCTCAAGATACTAATACAGTTCTAAATTACAAATTAGGGCATATATTAAGCGGAAAAGTCACCTGGTCAAGGACAACCATATGCCACGATATGCCCTCAAACCTAGACGGCCTTGACCTCAAAGCCGAATATGTGGTGAGACAAACATGGAAAGCACCTCGGGCAGCAGAAGCTTTGAGTCGACGACCAGTACCACCTCGGGAGCTTGCCAGAACACATTGGACTCGTAAACCAGGACAAACTGCCATGAGACGAGCACGCCAAGTAGGCAAGAGGAGACGTGGAGTGATTAACAAGTGTGGACCCCAGTCACCACCGTTGGATGCGGCCAATTGACCAATGTGAACAGCTAGACAGAGTGCAGCGTCGGCACAAGGAGCTGAGTATGAAACCAAGCAAGTAGGCACCCGTTGGGCGTAAGTGTTGCTTAACCAGGAGACTCCAGAATCTATTTAGAAACAAAGAAAAATAATAGATACTAATTTATATACCGTTAACTGCTTACGCAGTTGTAGTTCGAATCTAACAGGTCAGAAGCCCTTCAATAGGTATCCAGTGATGTGGATGATTAATTACTCTCTATTTAATAAAAATCAAAGAAAAAAATTGGAAGAATATGAGTT